CACATTCAAAGCCCTCTTTGACTTAAGCTACCTTGATCATTTTGGTTTGATATATCACTTTCCCCCTATGTATAGTCTAGACTACTTTTTACTTCTCCCCAAAGGCCTTGAACTGAGCCCTCCTGGCCTTTGGTCACATCACCTGTTTTGCTGGAATGATCTTCCCCCTTATTTTTGCCCATTGTATGCCAGTCTGTTTTTCAGAGAACAGAACCAATGTCATCCCCTCCATGAATCCTTCAAGGACCGCCTAGATTTAAAAGATATCTTCTTTTTAACTGCCATGTACTGTGATCTGCTTTTCATTCCCTTGAATATGTATCAAGTGCCTGTTCTGTGTCAGGAAGCACTGTGATTAGTTCTGAGGACATAAGAACAAGACAGCCTTCAAAGAGCTCACAATCCACTACAGCAGAGATGTTCGTAGCTGTAGTTAGAGCCCCAAATGGCTAGCACATACCTGCACACACACATTTGAAAAGAGTTTAAAATAAAATACTATAAACATGTTAAAGAAGGAATAATTAATTCAGGTGAGGGGATTCAGGGCAATCAGGTTCTGTTCTGAGAAACATATAACAATTTTTTTAAGTGGAAGAAAGCATACTTGTTTAAAGACAATGGCTGGGAAAGCTATCCTAAAGTAAGATAAAAGGTGAAAGGAAAGTATCCTCTGGAGAAGAGTTTCAAATATATATATTTTCACCTACTAGTTAACACATTTTTGGATCCTGCAGAGGAAACAAAACCACATCTACCAAATAATTATAAATAGAACTGCCATCAAAAAATAAAAGTAATTATGATACAATGCTTTTTTATTTCTCATTTGTCTGGTCTGACCGCCCATGGAGTGTTAGAGTTGAAGCTTTAAACACCACAATATAATTATTTTCTGGAAAGGATAAATTAAAGTTAGATGTTTAAAATAACTCTCTCAGAAAGATGGCAGAGTAGAACACATACTTCTTAGAGATGGTCATAACCTTTTGTGAAATAAACATCTATCACCTAGTGAAATAATTAGAAATATATAAAACAATATTTTGTGTATGAAAAGCTTTAATTGTAACAGAAAAAAACTCTACAAAAAACAAAATGTTCCAAAATAGAAATATATATATATAAAATGTATACCATGACATATATCAGTATACCATGACATATATCAGTATAATTATGTGATGGTGCACTGCTCTACTATGTATTTTATAGCCTAGTGGCTACATGAGCATACTAGAAGCAGATAGTCTGGATATTTGAATTCCAGCCCTGCCACTTACAAGTAAGTGACTCTGCGCCTCAGTATCTTCATCTTCAAAATGGAGTTAATAGCCAGGTGTGGTGGCTCCTGCCTATAATCCCAGTACTTTGGGAGGCTGAGGCAGGAGGATCACTTGAGCCCAGAAGCTCAAAACCAGTCTTTACAAAAAATCAAAAAACTAACTGGAGTGGTGGCTCATGGCTGTAGTCCTAGCTCCTCGGGAGGCTGAAGTGCAAGGATCACCTGAGTCCAGGAGGTTGAGGCTGCAATAAGCCAGGATGGCACCACTGCATTCCAGCCTGGGTGACAGAGTGAAACCTTTTCTCAAAAAAGTAAAAATAAATAGAGTTAGTAATATGCTCTCTCCTGTAGAATTGTCCTGAGGATTAAATGACAGTAGTTATTGGCACACAATATTTAGTAGTTATTAACCATTATTAATATATATTATATAACCATTAAAATATTATAGACTTATAGACTAGAGAAATATATTAGGACATGGCATGTTGTCTGAAATATATTGTTAGGTTAAGGAAGCTGAAGAAAAAATATTATGCAGAGTAAAAATTTCCTAAATTAAAAGTATGTATACATGATTATATATTAAAAATCTATAAGAATGTATAAAATATTATCAGTAGTTATCTCTTTACAGTGAGATTGCAAGTGGCTTTTTTCTCATTGAGTTCTATATTTTCCTATAACTAACATATGGTATATTTATAATAAGAAAAAAAGAACAAATTGTTCAAAAATACCTTCCCATTCACATGCTCTGTCTCAGGATAAGAAATTTTTGATGACACCCAAAGATCTGGGACTAGAAAACTCCTGCGTCATGTAACTTAAAATTTTTTCATAACCTAGTTACTGTATTGCAAGAGAATTTCATATCTTTGAATTAAAAGAAGCTATTTTGAACATCTGAGTATTGGACAGTACTCACCTGACATTTGAGTTAGAACATGCTATTTAACAAGAATCTGTAGATCAGTTTACATAACCTCCTAAATCACAGAATTCAAAGCAGCATAGATTCAAATATACCACAGAAAAGTTAAATCTAGGTGGATTAGGTATGCAATGGACTTCTCATTGAATGAACCCTGGCCATCACCAAAGCACTGTCAAGAGGAAATTTTTTTGTTTGTGTGATTTGGAGTTTTTACTAAATAGGGTCAAAGAACGAGGAATTGTCTCAAGTCTGGTACTAAAATTTCTTTTCCATGAGTTGCTCTAGTTAGTCAGTAGCATTGAGGAATTTCTTTCTCTGGGAATTTTAAAGGCAGATAGACGTTCACACCTCCATCCCACTCTATCCCACCTCACCCACCCCTCTGCAAACTGTGAGGTCTCCTGCTCATCCCACTTTAAAGGTACTTCCATTTTTTGCTATAAACTCATTGACTGAATTGTCAGACTTGTATCTCAAGTAATAAACTAGTAACTATTGCTTGCCTCAAATAAGAATGAATGCCTGCAATATTGACACAGACTGTCTTTCCCTGAATGTCCCTTTCAAGTCAATATGCCTTTCATGTGTGCTACTGACATAGCCATTATAATCTACAGGGTGCTTTCATGTGAATGCACACTAAATTTATTGGAATTAGAGATACAAATTAGAATTTTTACAACATCTATTCTCTGTTGCCAGGAAGATTTGTTCCAAACAGTCTCCTGAATTGTAAGAATATTCTTCTTTCTCTAACAAATCAGTTTACCAGACCACAAGACTTCGGAAAAATATAAAAAATGACAAGCGGAATGCAGCTGAGAGAAGACACCACCCCCAAAAAACAGGTGTAGCAAAGGCCTCAAGGATCTATCGAAGCCTGGGTGATAGAGCAGGAAAGGCAAAGAGATATTTGGATGACCACAATTTGAGAAAAATCTCTCCTCTTCTTCCCTTTCTTTTGAAAATAGTCCATGATCATCCAAGCAAAATACAGTTCTGAGACTGACCCAAGACACCTCAACCTTTAAAAGCAACAGTACTTAGCCTTTTCATTACCTTTTTTTTGGCAAACAAATAAAAAATAAAGCAAACAGATAAAACAAGCCATAAGTAGGTGGAAAATAAGGAAAAAAATTTTTTATCTGCCATGGCAAAATGTAATGAAAAAAATTCCTGATAATTTAGGAATGTGTCATTTGAGGAGTCAAATTTCAACATGAGAGCCAAAATAATTTCTTCATTTATCCTGCAAGTGCTATCAAAGACCCGCAATATACTAGGCACTTTTTTTTTTTTTTTTTGAGTCAGGGTCTCTGTCACCCAGGCTGGTGGAGTGTAATAGCACCATCACAGCTCACTACAGCCTCAGTCTTCTGGGCTCAGGTGATCCTCTGCCTCAGTCTCCTGAGTAGCTGTTGAGACTTCAGGTGCATGCCACCATGCCCTGCTAATTTTTTGTTTTGTTTTTTTGTGGAGACAAGGTCTTGCTGTGTTTTCCATGCTGGTCTTAAACTCCTAGGCTCAAGCAATCCACCTGCCTTGGCCTCTCAAAATACTGGGATAACAGGTGTGAACCATTGCTTTCAGCCTAGGCACTTTACTAAGCACTGAGGATTCAACAGTGAACACAGTCCAAGCCCTTGTTTTCAAGGACATGGAGGCAGACAAATGAATCAATGAATTCTGAAACTTCAGGTATGATACATACTATGAAGATCATCAGAAATTTTAAATGATGATTACTTACTATCTGTATTTTTGTCTTAGGGGACTGTATTATTAGTATCTAGTGTTCTCTGCCCCCTTCATTGGAATCACAACCAGTAGCTAGTCCAGGGGTATGCAAGAAAGTTCTTTGGAGATTGTATTAGTTTTCTATGACTGACCAGGCTCGGTGGCTCAGCCTATAATCCCAGCACTTTGGGAGGCCAAGGCAAGTGGATTGCCTGAGCCTGCGAGTTCGAGACCAGCCCTGGCAACTTGGTGAGACCTCATCTCTACAATAAATTTTTAAAAATAAGCCGGTGTGGTAGCGCACGCCTGTAGTTCTGGCTACTTGGAAGGCTGAGGTGGAAGGATCGCCGGAGCCCAGCAGGGTGACGCTGGGGTGACCGTGAGTGTGCCACTGCACTCCAGCCTGTGTGGGAGTGAGACTCCAACTCAAAAAAAAAAAAAAGTTTTCTATGGCCGCTGTAACAGATATACCACAAAACTTGGTGGGCTAAGACAACATAAATGTATTACCTCAGTTTTTCAAGGTCAAAGGCCCAGAAGGCTTGACTGGGTCCCCTGTTTGGGGTCTCACAAAGTTAAAATCAAAGCCATGTCCTTCACTGGAGGCTTGGGAAGAATCCACTTTCAAGCCCATTCAGATTGTTGGCTGATTCAAATTCCTTTCCATTCTGAGGCCTCCTCCAACAGTGGCAAGTTGAGACCCTCCCATACTAAGAATTTCTCTGAGATCTCCTTCCGACACATCTCTCTTCTGTCCACAGCCCTGTTTAATAGTTTCCATTATCATATGAAGTTCACCTGCATAATCCAGGATAATCTTCCTATCTTAAGATCTGTAACCTTAAAAATATTTTCAAAATCTCCTTTGCCATATAACATAACATATTCACAGTTACCAGGGATAAGGTTATGAACATCATTGGGGCAGTGGTGGGCATTCTGACTACAAATATAAAATATGAAACTTCAATCAATAGTTTCTGTTTACTTACCCCTAAAGAATCTTCACCAAATGAGTATGGTCTGTTCTTCTATTTCTAGGACATGCACTTGGCCAGGAGATTATATGACATGGCCGCTCAAACGAGTTCAGATGCTCACATACCTGTGTTCTTTGCCCTCATGAAACTGGAAACTATGCATTTGCTACGAGACATCCTGTTTTTTAACGTAAGTTTGTCTCAAATAGGTCCTGGATCTCTGGAATCTCCAGTGAGCAACTCTTAGGAACAAAGTGACAGGGTTCACCAGGAGAGCCTCTTGTGGACTGGCTTTCCTGTGAGAAGTAAAATTCAAAGTCTGCACTTACCATGAAGAGCAATTATGCTTGTTATATTGAGTATGTGTTGATGCTAGTACAACCAGTGAATTCATTCGGAAAATATTCTTTTCAACACATACTATGTTCAGCCTTAAGCAAAGTGACATGTGCTATATATACTTGTTCAAAACATAGTTTTTGCCATCAGTATCTGAGACTGGTAGACAGATGGCAGGGTACCACAAAGAGACACAGTTTTTAAGAAAAGTAGAAATTAAAATGTATAAAATTTGAGGTTATTCTAAAGATGCTAGTTAAGCCCCCTGTGACAGCTGTAAGCAAATGAAGATCATGTCTTCTAAGGCTGGGGAAAGCATGGGGATTAAATGGGGGAAGGCTTGGTGGTGATGGGTTTGGGAGAAGATGATGTTTCTGAGTGGAGTGGAAGGCTTGAATTTTCTTGTGAAAGAATGTCTTTTGCCAGCAGTTTACAATGAGATGGAAATGGATGGACTTGGATGACACCCTGGGACCATACTGGGATTTATTTCTGATTGGCTTCATTGTTGCAGTGCTGATTTTCTTGCTTATAAATTACCACCGGTAGGATCTGGATCTTAGGAAAACTTGCTCATGGGAACCAGTTCACTCCAAGGTATCCTCAGTAAATAAAGAATTTCCTCATCCAAATCAAGACTCTGCTGCAATTTCCCACTCAGGCCTGTGATGGAAAATGAACAAAACTTGGGGCCCATTCTAGGGAAACAACTTCAGGCTTCCTGCTTAGTTGAGGGAAACATTTGGAGGATGCTGGGGACTGGTCAACTAAGACTTGGGTTACAAACCTGTCATGTTAGTGAGCTTGCTGGGTTAGGAATGAAAACCACCTCCTCCCTTTCAAGAGGACAAGTTGGGTTTCTTGGCTTCTACAGCTGTACTGAGATGAGAAGAAGAGGGAGTATGGGAAGGCATGAATACAGATCCCTCAGAAGATGATAGAGACAAAAATGTACAAATAGACCTTGTACAAATAGGTCTTTTAGGGATGACCCTGTGAGTGACCTGTAGCCCTGTTGAGCGATGGCATCCCTTATCATGTTGTGCCTGAAAGGAGGGGAGTTGAGACTGACCTGAACTCCTCACCAAGAGGCCTTTTATCAAACAACCTTAGTAGCTGTGTAGTGAACAAAGCCATCTGTGGTCAGTACAGCATCATAGTCCTTGTCCTCCATCCTCATCAGAACCCTGTTCTCCGTAGGGAGTCTCCCATAGAGCCCCCAGAGAAGGAGTTGATACCAGCCTCCTTCCACAGAACCTAAAAGCTCCAGACACCCAAATCTCAGGTCAGGGGCCAATGGACAAGCTGGCTGGGCAACTATATCTCACAGGTGTTATTTCAAACCTGTAAGTCTTCAAGTTGTTAAGAAGCAAGTGATAACTGGGACAGTAATATAGAGAACAAAGAACATATTTTGGCATTAGATCTGAATTCATTCTAGTTCCATTATTTCTTTTTGTTTGTTTGTTTCATTCTGTCACCCAGGCTGGAATGCAGTGGCATGATTACAACTACCGCAGCCTCATCCTGCTGGGCTCAGGCAATCCTTCCACTTCAGCCTTCCAAGTAGCTGCAACTACCACGCTGCACCACCACGCCCTGCTAATTTTTTGATTTATGGTAGAGATGAGGTCTTGCCAAGTTGCCTAGTCTGGTCTCAATTCCATGGGCTCAGGCATCTCTCTCACCTCAGCCTCCCAAAGTGCTAGGATTATAGGTGTGAGCCACTGCGCCTAGCCCTAGTTCCATTCTTATCAGCTATGTGATCTTTTCTAGCTTCTCCTAGCCTCAGATTCCTCCTGTGTAAAACGGAAGAAATTATATCTACCTCCTGGCCTCACTATGCAGATGGAATAAGAAAACAGAGTAGAGTGAGACTGGTTCATAATGGCTCCCTAATGTTCCTTTCTCCTCCTCTCAGCCTCACCACATCCTCTTCTCTACAGTTTTCTGGCATTTCCAGAGAGGGGAACACAGCAAGTAACAGTAACTCCACCATTCAAGATTTTGAGGAAAATCTAAAATTCTAATCCTCCTGTCTCAGACTCCCAAAATGCTGGGATTAAAGGTGTGAGCCACTGTGCCTGGCCTGGCTTTTAATTTTTTTTTTTTTTTAAGTTGGAGTCTCACTCTGTTGCCCAGGCTGGAGTCGCCCAGGCTGGAGTCGCCTAGGCTGGAGTTGCCCAGGTTGGAGTGCTGTGGCACACTCAAGGCCACCCCAGTGTTGACCTGCTGGGCTCTGATGATCCTTCGCCTCAGCCTTCCAAGTAGCTGGAACTACAGGCATGCGCTACAACGCCCGGCTAATTTTTGATTTATTGTAGAGACGAGGTCTCACCAAGTTGCTCAGGCTGGTGGTTTTTAATTTTTAAAATTTAATTTTACATTGTATTTTATCTTATGTTAAAATATATGATTCAGACCAGTGCGATGGCTCATATCTGTAATCCCAGCACTTTGAGAGGCTGAGACAAGAGGACTGCTTAAGCGCAGGAGTTCAAAACCAGCAACATAGTGAGACCTCGTCTCTATAAAAATAACAAAAATAGTAACTGTGCATGTTGGTGCATATCTGTAATCCCAGTGTTGATGACCCAATCAATCAATCGGCAGCTATCTCTCACAGTCAATCAGAGTGAGAGAGGCAGGAGCTGGGAAAAAATGGGCGTTTATTCTGAAAACTGGAAATCAGGGAACAGGCTCGGGTATCGACCAAAAGAACTGTTCCCCAAGGCAAATTTTACATTCAGTATTTATAGTTAGGACAGGCAATATCTTATTTATTTCAACTATTGATTAATAGCATCTACGTGTCTCATGATCATACCCAAAGTTTCTCTTTAATCACTGTTTAGTCTTTTCAGCACCTATTGGCATAAACCAGTGTCTAGACTACATTAGTCTTGTTCATTTGAAAAACAATCCCAAACTTATGTTCACATATGACCTAACTAACGATTACATAAGACATGAATCTAAACTGAATACCACAAAAGTGATTTACATTTTAGGAAATGAGTAGTACTCTTTAAGAGTTTCAAGGAGTTTCTCTTGAGTCTATCTCTCATCTTTTGAAGGTCTTTTCAGAGACTTGTAACTTTTTCATTTCTCACAGGCAACTGTTTTCTTCAGCACCGGCTTATTAGATAAATTGGCCTTCCAAACCAGTGGGCAAGGCCATGCTAGCACAAATGAAAGGGGGTTACATTCCAAGGGCAGTGAAGGTAGGGGGAGAAGAAGAAGGGAAAAAAATGTGCACTTTAAGTTCAAGTTGTTTATGTTCAGCTTGGTCTTAACTATAAAAATAAGCCTTTGTTTTTAAAGTTCTGCTTTGGTTATTTTAAATAATCAAAATGGTCACTTCTTAACCTGTTACATCAGCTACTCAGGAGGATGAGGTAGAAGGATCACTGAAGCCCAGAAGGTTGAGGCTGGGGTGCACAATGATGGTGGCACTGCACTCCGTGATGATGGTGGCACTACACTCTAGCCTTTTTAAGTCAGAGAACGAGACCTCAACTCAGAAATGAATAAAGCATATGATTAGAAAACCTAGAATTCCCATTATTTTCATAATCCTTCACAAGTTAGTTGGCTGTGAATATTATCTTGGCTTTGTTCAATTTTCAACAACCTCAATGAGCTTTATCTGAACATTTCTCCAAGTTCTTCCAGGTTCTCCCATCATCTCGTACTCTTGCCCACATCATTGTGATAACAAGAATACACTGACCCACAGCAAGTGCACAGAGAGTCTCCAAAGAGATTAACTCCTTTAGAACCAAAGAGAAAGGTAGCAACATCCATCCACCCTCACAACAGCAGGCAATGATCCCTGAGCAGTCTGAGGTTGTCTTCATGTCAAGAAAATCAGAAGGTTTGTGAATCCACAACAGCTGCAGGGCCACTGGGCACTGGTCCCGCAAACTGGCAGCAGAAGTAGATACCTGCCCCAGCCAGTACAGAGGCAGCTATGAACAGGCTGGGAATGGATTTGAGGTAGGCCAAGTTATTTATACTGAAGGAAACCAAAATATTTCTCCTTAAAATACTGAGGCTTGGCTAGCTAACGACAGCCAAAATGTAGAGGGACTTTCTGCCTTTCTGCTGTTTGCCTAAAGGCAGGACATAAATCCTCCCTTACTGGAGACAGCCACTTAACAGCCTCAAGATGGCACTAACAGACGCCAGAGAAATCCATGGGCAGACTTTACTTCACTGAGTTTCTTCTCACATTTTTCTTGCCTTTGAGAGATTGGAACTGCTCCCTCTTTTGTCTTGACACCGCTCTAAAATTTATTGCTCTTTTTAAAGATACTATTTAAGCAAGGCTCAAAGCTGTAAGTCTTAGGCCAATGTTTTGAGAGAGTTACTTTCCAGAGAGAGTTACTTTTCTCCCACGTCTTGAACATGGCACTTGTTATCAAACGTGTTTGTTTTCCTCTTGTTAATCTGTCTTTTGTTTCAGGTGAGCATATCAGCCATGAATTTATGAGGGCTGAGAAAAGATTACGTATATTTTTCCCCTTCAACACACTCCACAGAAATCTGAAACCAGGCTGGAAGAGGAACTAATGCTGTGGGAAGGAAAGGGCCCCCTTAAAAAAGCCTCAGATATATTTCAAATGTAGACAATGTGGCATCTTTGCTGAGGCTCCCTCAGAAGCCTCAGATTTGCATTTAAGTCGTTTATTTGATACTGCAAGAAATCTAAGTAGGAAAAGAAGCCAGCACAGGTAGTTATCAAGAAAGTTACCAGCTGGGTGCAGTGACTTAAGCCTGTAATCCCAACATTTTGGGAGGCAGAGGCGAGAGGATTGCCTGAGCCCATGGGTTTGAGACCAGCCTGGGCACCATGGAGAGACCTCCTCGACAATAAATCAAAAAATCAGCTGGGCGTGGTGGCACATGCCATGGCTCCAGCTACTTGGAAGGCTGAGGTGGAAGGATCGCCGGAGCCCAGCAGGTCGAGGCTGCAGTGGCCGTGAGCGTACCACTGCACTCCAGCCTAGGTGACAGAGTGAGACTCCAACTCAAAAAAAAAGAAGAAAGTTACCACTGTGGGTCACTAGAGTTCGATCCCCATGAGAAACTCTGGTGGCCCATGTAAAACATGTACCTCATAGTTATCCTACCCCAGCAACAAGGAAATAGGATATTTATTCACAACTATCAGGAGTCATTGGTTGGGGGATGCTTTAAGTGGAGCAGTTTATTTCCTGCACTACCAACTCCTCATTTAGGCAAGTGGAGCCACTAGACATGGCCCTTGGGCAAACAGATGCAGACACAAGAAGGCCTGAGAGGTTGGGGTGGGGGATGGCCTCTGGGGCGGCTGCTTTCTGAACCCTCCCAACCTTTCCTGCAATAAATAATGCAGTGAGTGAGCACTTGCAGTGTCTGCCAAGAACCTGAGAAATAAAAACCACCCTCAGGAAGCCTGCGATGTGTGGTGTAGAAGAGAGAAGGCCCCACCGTGAGGGCATCCACCATGCGCCAGGCATTTTCTTAGCATTCCCTTACTTCGTCCTCCAGACCTTCTGGGAGGCGACATTCTTCTTCCCATTTTATAGAAATGTCAGGCAGTGATCTGATTACTTCTTCAGCATAGTATACCCAATAGCAGGTGATA